CTTGCATGCTTCTTTTGTAAAAGGAATTTCTGATGTTGATGTTATTAAATCAATGAGTTAAGTTGAGGAGACAACTGTATTCAAAATGACTTCTCCAATAAGCTACATTCATCTTCCCATCATTTCTACTATTAAGACAAATCACCAGTGTCTCAAAGCTAATTTATGGTGATAGCCAGTTATCTTGATTGTTTTGTTAAAAAACACATTTTTATACACATAACACTGCTACCAAGAAGCTCTCCACATCAGTGTAACAACCACCTGCCACCTTTCATGAAAAGCAAAAGTCTTAAATTCATACGTTTCTGTAGGTTTGAGCAGTGTTTGAAAAAACAATCCATCAAGTTTATTTTGGGCTAAAAAGGCTGATTTTAAATTACTTGAAATATAGTAATATAAAATAGAACCCAAAAATCTTTTGGATCAGGCTGACTTGGCTCATTTACATCTCTCTCGCCTTTCTAATCTTGCCTCTTCTTCCTCAATAAAAGTTATATGAATAATAATAAGAAGTCCTTTATTGGTCCCGCAATGGGGAAATGTGCATTTATTAACTTTACTAAAATGTTCTTATTTAATATCCCTATTGGTTTCCATACATTTCTGATAAGATTGTCTGCATCACAAATGTCTCTATAAAGTGACTTGTTCTGTATTCTCCCAGTTCCAAAATGCAGATGCTTCAAGAATTAAAAAGGCAGGGGAAGAAGGAGAGAAAGAGGAAAGAAAGTGGAGTGCATCCTTCTGTTTGACATAGTGACAATTGGCTGTCAGACACCTGGACTTGACACAGCCCTTATTAGGCTGGATGGAGAATAAAGAATGAGTTGGGCAGACAGAGTGAAAGAGTGCAACAGTTGGAGGGAAGAGGAGGGAGACCAGGGAGGCTGGAGAGGAGGTGGGATCACAGAGGCAAGAGGGAGACATACAGTAGATCTGTGTTCTGAATGTTGTTTATCTACCTGCAGCTCTCCTCATCGTAATGTAGGCCCCAGGCCTTTAAAGTTGTTAGGATCGGCTACAATGTCCTTGAACATCCTCACATTAATTAGTGCATACAACAATAGACGATTATGCTCACAAGCCTTATTCTTATTTTTTGACACATCAATATTTTTCACCAATCGTTCAAATGTGAAATTAGGAGATCGGCTTTTCAGTTGTCCAATTTTTTGTGGCATGAAAAAAAGAATGCAATTGTTACTTTAGATGCCTGTACTTATTATTGCATACGTTCATCTCAACATGTCTTTTCTTTTATTTAACCATGTTCATCATTTATCTACACATTTGTGTATCTTTTGCAAGAAATATCAATTTTTAATGGCTTCACTGTGGGTGGACACCTCAAGACATGTTTCCCATTTATTAATTTTGAATCTTGAATTCAAACAGTATGACTGAAAACTTGATCAAAATGTTTTTATTCATAAAACAGTGTGTGTGCACAACCCCAAAAAGGCAAAAACAAAATTAGAAGGTTAGCACATACTAAATTATAAAAGATTCTGTGTTACTTACGGCTATGATGTCTTAACATTGCATCTAGGTCAAGTATACTTCAGCTGATTCAGTGCAGGTCTAGGTCCCACAATGAACCTTTTCATCACTTAAAAAAGTATTTAGCCATTTAGTTA